ATTACACGCGCAGTACCAACAGAAATGAATGATATGAATCACGAAGAAATTAGCAGGTGCGTACAATCTCTTATTTTTCGAGTATATCGAAAATGAGTTGTCGATGAGTTGGAAACATTTCCTGAAAGTTTCAGCCTCCCAGCTTCCTAGTTCCGGAGTTAGCCATTTTCCTGCCAAAAATTTTTATTGTCTAACAATGTCTCAAAGAGCAATGGAGCGGCGGATGATTGACACCACTAGGCTGCAGCATATTCCAAACGAAGTGCTTCGAGCCATATCTGGCGTGAAAGACATTAATGAAGCAATGTACGCCAGCAAGAAGAGATAGGCTGGTCATGTGGCACGAATGACAGATAACAGTTGGACGAAGTGGATAATGGAATGGCACCCGCGCGCGGTCAAGCGAACACTGGGGAAGCCACCAGTGAGGTAAAGAGACCCCATGGTACTCCTGTTTGGTGGACTCCGAGAGCGCAACAGCGAATGGAGAAGAATGGAGAAGTTGCCAGTTGCATCGATGGTTTGACAACGAACGTCGATGACATATAGCTGCTCAAAATGTTCGAGCGCTTTTTCCAGCTTGTTCACTGTACAAATCCATCGTTTCAGGTATGTTGGCGTCGAACATTGCGATTTTCTGGTTGATTTGGAGAACCCAGATACCACAGAATTGGAGCGTAATTTCGCAGAACAGGTGAGGAATACATTTGGTTTACTAACCATAGGTTGTCTTAGAAGCAGCAATAGTTTTTGGCCAAGAAACTAGGAGCGAATTAGGTAATCCGGTCGTAGCTTATCGTAATGTCTCGCAATTAGGATATCTAGTTATCGCAATATTTAGCAATCGTAATATCTCGCAGTCTCGCAAAGTTTATCGTAATATCTCACAACTTTTTTTAGTCTTGAGTTTTCGTTGCGGTTGAAATGCGCTAAAATTGGCTTCCCTCAATGTTGTGTTTTTTGGTTTTTACAAGCACAGCATTCTTTCAAAGTTCGTTTTGTGTATACAGCTAAGGGATGAAACGCAGACTGCATCGTAAAATGCCTTCTTGCACATGGCACTTAATCCAGCCCCACTATTTTTCTTTTTCACATCGTTTTTATTTTCTAGAAAAACGTATGGCGTTCTGTGGTGCGGAAAAAATTCCTGCTTTCTTCGTATTCTCATCCAATTTATCGTGCATTCTATATTCCGTTCGTGAGCGGTTCAAATATTGTATTCGGCCAATATCACCTTCTTCAGAGAATCCATGAACAGGAGGATGCGGGCACTCGGTCGTAAGCATCGTGGCATCGCGGGACATCTATTGCCTTCGCAAGAACATGTAACTTTCGTGGCTAGCTACTTTTGTTTGTCTAGAAGTATTCGTGCGACAACTTAGTATTACTTTTAGGGAGACCT